TAAGCAGGCATTTGATCTTCTCTGAGCAGGATGTGTGGGTGATCCAGACGTTAAACTATGCACTGTTTGGAGAAACATTCTTACCCTGAATCGTCCTTAGAACCGTTTTTAATTCTAGATTCAGTCTCTGTTGGAGAATAATTCCATAATTGGGCTTATTTTGTGTATTAGGGATACTTCCTCCATATAAATATTTAATGAGCTTTCAAGAGATAGTTCCTATTTACACAAAAATATTACATGTAGGAATCCACAGTCTTACTTGAAACATTCCAAGTACCTTTAGTTATTAATGCCACATAATCCTCAAATTAATCTGTGGATCAGGAAAATTGGGGGTGAAATTTTTCTCCATGTCCCCCTCCCCTCAATACAGAATTTTTATAACTCCATGCCAGTGGGGTTTTACACTTAAATGAAATGGGAGACTGTCTGCAATATAGTTGCTTACCTTTGTATTAGTTTTCATTTTTAGTCAGTGACTATAACTGGATATTAATGTGTTGTCATGGTTAATAATTTATGAATTAACTACCAATGCAATAGAAACCTGCAGCTCCATTTCTGAGAATCACTTATTCATGTCAATCTACAAATATGCTTTAATATCACCTAGATTAAAAAATATTTCCCTTGACCCCCCCCATATTTTTCTCTGCCTATTGTTTCATTTCTTGAACTCTGTACTGAGAAGAGCTCCCTATACTTGCTATCTACACCTGCTGTCTCACTCACCTTTCATTCTTAACACACTCAAGATGGACTCAAGTCCCTTCCACATAACTGGAATGGCTCTTTTTAAGGTCAGACGACCTATATTTTGCCAAAACTCATTCACTGTCGTCAACCTATTCCTTGTTTTAGTGGCATCTATGTGGTCGACCTTGTACCTCTAGCAGTTTTCTACCTATGCCTGGTTTTGTCTTTTTCCTGGGTGGCTCAGTCACAGTGAGTGTCCTATCCTTTTTTCTTCTTTTTTCTCTGACCTCTTCATGCAACAGAGCTCAGCATTTGCTCCCTCCCCCTTTCTCCCACCACTCTCCATCCCCTGATGATCACATTCAATCTCCTGGCCCATCTGACCTTTCCATTTGGGTCTAATAGATATCTCAGACTTCTTGTGTCCAAAATAAACTCCTGATCCCTGCCCTTCTTCCATAGTTTGTCCTAGCTGCTATTTTCTCTACCTCAGAATGAGACCCATCTTCTGCATTGCTCAGTCTAGAAACCTTGCGCACATTCTTTACTCCTGGCTCTCACATAGCATTCTCTGGGCTCCACCTTCACCACGTGCTGCCTTTCCTCACTGCTTCAATTACTGACAGCCTAAGGTGAGCCAATGTCGTCTCTCCCACAAGTGGTCTTCTTGCTTCCACCCTTGCCCACCGGCAGCCTATTCTGAGGGGCTGTGACTCTCAATCAAAGTAAGAGCTAAATCCTTCCAAAGGCCTCTGAGCTCCTAGATAATCTGTGCCTTCCCTGTACCCGTGATCTCCCTACTCCTGTCTCTTCTCCCTTCCCTCTCTGTGTCTGCTTCAGTCACAGTGGTCTTCTTGATGTTCCTGGAAACATACCATCCTTGGGGCTTTCGCATTGGCTGTTCACTCTGCTGGGAAGGCTCTGTTCCTGTGCGTACATTCCCAACTCTCCCTTCCTTCAAGATTTTGCTTAAATGCCAGCTTCACAGTGAGGATTGCAATTGGCAATGCATTCTTCACCTCACCTCTGAAACTCCCAGCCCCCTTGCCCTGTTCCATTTTATTTTCAACTGCACTTATCATCTTCTAGCATGATAGAATTGATTTATGTTTATTGTTTGCCTCTCCCCTCACTAGAATGTAACCTCCCAGAAGGCAGAAATCTCTTTCACTCACTGATGTTTCCCAACATGCCTAGAACAGTGCCTGGTTTAGAAAGCTCTCGATGTGTAATTGTTGGATGGATGAATAAAGGTGGAGTAAGTTTGGGCCGCACTATCCAAAATAGGTTTAAAGTGCTGTGCGTCCCAGCTTACCTTCCCCCCACGCTGTACATTTCTTTATCACAAAATTGCAATTTTCCTTACCTTCCCCCCACCCTGTACATTTCTTTATCACAAAATTGCAGTTTTCCTTTATGGAAAAGAGCTTTTCTTTGGTCTTTCCTTGTGAGTTTCTCCAAAGCAGATGAATGAACTCCATGTTCTCTTTGATGTTGCTAAGGAAGATGCCCGGTTCATGTTGGCAGGCCGTGTACTACTGAATGGCCCGACCAGAGTGTGTTCTCATGCATGTACTGCAGCCGATACAAGAGCTGTACCTGCCTCATTTTAGTTTTGTGTTACAGAAAGGTGGCACAATTATAGTTTAAGGCGTGATGTCTAGGAGTACATTTTTTTTAAAAGATTTTATTTATTTATTTGAGAGAGGAAGAGAGAGCACAAGCAGGGGAGGGGCGGAGGGAGAAGCGGACTCCCCACTGAGCAGGGAGACCAACTTGGTGCTCGATTCCGAGAACCCGGGACTCACGACCTGAGCAGAAGGCAGACACTTAACCAACTGAGCTACCCAGGCACCCCTAGGAGTACATTTTTGATCTTCAAAACATATTCAGCACAGGGGTGCCTGGGTGGCTCAGTCATTAGGCGTCTGTCTTTGGCTCAGGTCATGATCCCAGGGTCCTGGGATCGAGCCCCGCATCGGGCTCCCTGCTCCGCGGGAAGTCTGCTTCTCCCTCTCCCACTCCCCCTGCTTGTGTTCCTGCTCTCGCTGTGTCTCTCTCTGTCAAATAAATAAATAAAAATCTTTAAAAAAAAAATAAAATGAAAGAAGGCAAAAGAAGCATGCCTGCCTATAATGGTCAATGCTGTGCCACAGTAAAATTAATTTATGTGCTTTTATGTGTGCCATGGGGGCCTTATCTGAGATTTTTGTCCTGCACCTACAGTGGAAAAGATGATCTGACTGCAAGTTTGTATCTGGCCTTAAATTCTAGGTCTTTCCCAGATAAGTCTTCAGGTCACAGTTTCTTTATTAGTAAAGTGAGGGCATAGACCAGGAATTCTCTAAATTACTTCCACTCTTTTAGTGTTTAGCATATTTTCATTATATATTATTATCAAACTTGTTAGTAATTTTTTGACAATTTCCTGCATTTCAGCCCACTCTCATTTAGATTCCTACTGTGTGCTTGTACTTTGCTGATCTATGTAGCTTCAGACATGTGATTTGAAGGCCCAGTTTCATATACAGATAAAATATTACATATTCTTATGGTGAGCTTATATTTATAACATGTGATTTTTTTATATCACATCTTTACTTTTTAATTTAACCTAGAAAAGTCACACAGTAACCAGTGTTAGTCTTTTTTTTTTTTAAAGATTTTATTTATTTATTTTATTATTTATTTGACAGAGAGAGACACAGTGAGAGAGGGAACACAAGC